CCATTCACTTACATCTTCAGTTCTTGTAATCTCTCCTTCTAAGGCCTTGTGTATCCTGGGACATGTTGCACCATTGTAGTTATACGAGTGTGAGTGCCCAGGGTAAACACCCTGCATTGGGGTAAGATGGGGCCTACACAGTGTCAGTGCAGGGCAGTCAGACTGCAGGGTAAACTGCACCAGTGTAAGTCCCGTTTTGCGGCAGAGAAGTGGGTCTGTTAGAGATTTGCATGGGTGCAAATTTCCCTCACCTAGAAAAACCCTGATTGCCTCCAGTCTCTTCCTCATCTGTGTTGCTTGTCAATGGCTCGGTAAATTCAGTGGGTGAAATCCTAACCCCACTAAAATTCATGGGAATTTAGCCATTTACTTCAATGGAGCCAGGACTTTCCCAGATGCCTTTTTCATCTACGCTCCCCTTTCACCTTTGTGCATCCAAGGTGCAGTCCTGTGTTACCATGTAATCATAGAAATGTAGTTCGAAAGCTTTTCCTAATATCTAACCTAAATCTCTCTTGCTTCAGATTAAGCCCATTGCTTCTTGTCCTACCTTCAGTAGACATGGAGAACAACTGATCCCTGTCTTCTCAATAACGGCCCTTAACAAATTTGAAGACTGTTATTGGTTCCCCCTTCAGTCTTCTTTTCTCCAGACTAAACATGTCTAGTGTTTTTAACCTTTCCTCGGAGGTCAGGTTTTCTAAACCTATCATTTTTGTTTCTCTCCTCTGGACTCTGTCCAGCTTGTCCACATCTTTCCTAAAGTGGGGCACCCCGAATTGGACACAATGCTCCAGCTGAAGCCTCACCAGGGCTGAGTAGAGCAGGACAATTACCTCCCGTGTCTTACATACGACGCTCCTGTTAATACACCCTAGAATGATAATAGTGTTTTTCGCAACTGCATCACATTGTTGGCTCACATTCAATTTGTGATGCAGTGTAACTCCCAGATCCTTTTCAGCAGTACGACCACCTAGCCAGTAATTCCCATGTTGTAGGTGAGCGTTTGATTTTTCCTTCCTATGTGTGGTACTTTGCACTTGTCTTTACTGAATTTCATCATGTTGAATTCAGACCAATTCTCCAATTTGTCAAGGTCATTTTGAATTCTAATCCTGCCCTCCAAAGAGCTTGCAACCCCTCCTAGCTTGGTTTCATCTGCAAATTTTATAGGCATACTCTCCACTCCATTATCCAAGTCATTAATGAAAATATTGAATAGTCCCAGACCCAGGACTGACTCCTGCATGGCCCCGCTAGGTATACCCCCAGTTTGACAGCAAATCATTGATAACTTCTCTTGAATGAATGAATCTGTAACAGTGAGAGAGCGGGAAAATCCTAATCAATTGCCCCTTTCTTAAGGAATTGGACTCTAATTAATAAGTGATGATTGATCATTCGTAATAGAAGAGCAGATTATAAATGCTACATATTTTCTGCAAAAAAATCAAATGAAACAACAGATTTTCATTTTGTTTAAAACCTTCTCTGAATTTTTCAGTTTTTCCACTCAACAAAAAATGAATATTTTGTTTTTCAGTTTTATCCTAAGTGCCTCTTCCCTTTTTTCCCTTTGAATGGAGAGAAGCAGGGGCGGGCAGATAAATGTAAAAATTTTGTGGGTTTCAGTCTTTTGTCCAAAAAAAAAAAAAGGAATTTTTGACCAAAACATTAATTTCCCATGGGGAAAATGTGCCATTTTTCAATTTAAAAATTTTTTGAGAAAACATTTCAACCAGCCCTAACTGATAAATCATGGTCATTATGATAATAATAATAATAATCAATATCTAGTTCCAAAACACATGCTAGAAATTCCCTTACAATGAAATCATGGGCACGTACATGTGTGGGTGGGTAGACATGCGTGTTCGTCTGCATGCGGACACGTGTATCTGTCCGCAGGAGTGGGACATCCACCCGAGCGCTTCCTGCTCGCCAACCCAGGGAAGCTGGGATACATTTGTGGGGTTTGCATGGACAGGAGTCTATACTGGTGCCATTTCACCTTGTCTCTCTCTTTCCCTGGGCTGACAAAGTATCAGTGGGTGGCACTGCCTTACAAGATAACCCTGGGTTGCAATCACTTTGAAACAGCCCAGGAGAAAGGGAAGATTATGATGATCCCACTTGGAGCCTGAAATAAAGCCTCTCAGCAGTGTGACAGGCAATGAGGGCTAGTTTGCATTTTACCTGCTTGTCTCATCGGGGCGGCTTCCATCCCTGTCTCCCTTGCTATCGGTGTGGCATCTCCACCCCACTGACGCTTGTGGCCTTTTAGTTTATTTAAAGTGAATTTTGGAATGTGGTATTACACCACCCTGGGTTCGGCTCTGGTGGCTACAGTTTCAATCTTAGCAGAGTGAAAGTCACCCCTGCTACTTGTTTTAGAGTTAGAGTCTCTAGGAACACAGACAGATCAAGGGTAGTGACCACACAGACACTCACCAGTACAAAGCCTCGTCTGTTTTACAAGTTTTATTAAAGTTACAATGAAAGTTATAATTACCCAAGCATATCGAAATTCTATACAGACCTATTCAGAAGTTACAAATATAGTTCTACTCACATCCTTAATATGCAGGGTTAGGGTCTGATGGGTCTCTCATGGTTTGATCATCAGTAGAGGGATGGTTCATGCTGGAGCCTCCCCTAGGGAGCTCAATTTTCCTGTTCTGGGCACCCCCTTTTTATACTGTGATTCTGTCTGTAGCTACATTCTGCGCATGTCCATAAAAAGTGTCAACCCTCTTTTCTCTGATTGGTCTGTGTCCCCTGGAAACTTAAGGACCCCAACTTTCTATAAGCTGTGTAAGTTCCCTTTATTTTCATTAGCATTGACACACAACCTGTATCCTGTGATTAAGACACATGTGGGAGACAAATGCACCTTTACAGTATTTTTATGATCTAATATTAATCTTCTGGGCAATTTTGCACAATATTACCATTTGGTACCTCTTTTCCCATACTTTAAGGGCATCGGGTTATTTTCCGGTTACTTATGTCATCATTTCTTGTCTCCAAGGCCTAAAATAGCTAAGCTAAAGTCTTGCAGACCTCAACCTACAGGTTCTTACATTTCAGCTTGTCTTACTTATGTCTATTACTTGGTTCCTTTAAATATTGATCAATCTTATACTTTTATAATCCTACAAATTACCTTTAATTAACATACAATAAATATACATCCTATAACGTATTAATTAATTATAACATCACACAATCAATAAATAATACACTAAAATGATTGGCTACACACTTATACAAGCCCAGCGCTGAGCGTGTGCCTGTGATCATGTATAAACCCCACACTGGCAGTGACAGGGTCCTGGGGAAGCAGAGAGACCAATTAGCCTATTCTGTGGCACCTGGAGGAGGGGTGGGTTATTAAGAATTAAACCCAGCTGGGGAGAAGCAGACTGGGTGGTTCCTATAAAGGAAGGACAAGAGGGGGAAGAGACCTAGGAGAGAGGGAGATGGGAATTTCTTCTCTCTGGTTCCTGACAGCCTGCTGGAGTGAGCTTGTATGCTGGGACTGTCCCTGAAGGGAAAGGGCAGAAGAAGACTCCTAAGGAGAAGAGAGACTCTAGGGAAGAAGCTCTGTAGGTCAGTGGCTCAGGAGGAGCCGGGGGTGCAGGGAGGATGCCCTGGGAGGGAACGCTCTGGAACAGAGTGAGGAGAAATTCACCAGAACTGGCAAGAGGGATGGAGAGTCGGTGGGGGACTGAGCCCCAGAAGTGCTCTGGGGGAGTTTTGATTCCTGTCAGCTTAGACACTGTTACCCTGGAAGGGCTGAGACACTGAAGTGGTTGCAGGGCCAAGTCACTGTACAGGCCCCTGAAGTCTGGAGGAGGGAGAAGCAGAGGGCCTGCAGTGCTGGGTCTCACGGTGTGGAGGTGCTCTGGGACAGGGAGACTAGGAGAGTTCCCTCATGGACAGTAATGCATGGAAGAGGGTCTATTGCTGAAAGGGATACTAACACCAGCATGCTGCATTAAGGCACATATGAAACCCCAGTAGAATGCTTGGGTCCAGCTGCATGGATAATAATGCCCTGTTCATACCGTGCCTCATCAGCTGGGCACAAACACAAGCAGGAGGGCCCAGTACAGATCGTGCCATGGACCTGACGTGCAAGGACCCAATGTAGACTGTGCCGCGTTGCAAGGACATGAATGCATGTGCCAGGGCGCCGTGCACACTGGCCCTGGTTTCATGCACACTAAATGCAAGGGCCCAGTGAAGAGGGCATGTCCTGGGGCATGGAGCTAAGGTATCCACGAGGATCCATGCCAAAGGGCGTGCCCAACCCACGTGAACATTAATGGAAGCACGCAGGCACAGTGCTGTAACGCACACAGAGGGTGAATATGCCCAGACCCAGCTCTGTTTAGAGCCATGCAAGGATAACCATTCAAAGCTACGCGGCGACCCGAGCTTTGGCCCTGAGAGACAGTGCAATGCTTTTAAACCCTTAACACGTAGCTACACGTTATTCTTATGTTTCACAGGTTTGTGGGTGGGTACGCAGGCATGTATCCACACATGCTTTGCAAAACAATCCGAGAGACCCAAACCCTGGTGACTGCAGATTCTCTTGAAAAGAATATTTATAATAAAAACAATCTGACGAGCTAAACATCGGGAATAACCCGGCAAGCGAGTCTGAAGAGACGGATCAATGAACCTTCTGAGGAATCCCCTGCAGGACCAGAAGGATTTGTTAATGGGAAATTTGAGATGTGACAGGAGGCGCACAATGCAAAATAGAAGGCAAAATGGTTAAAAGCAGCTTTCTCACCCTCTATAACTGCACACAGAGGCAGATCCACCACCCAGTGAAGCCAGTAGGTCTACATGGACCGCACTGTGCTCCAGCCTGTTGAGTGCAGCTGGTCAGAAACTGTCGACAGAAAAATATTTTTTTGAGGGGGAAAATGGTAATAAAAAATGTTTGAGCTGTCTTGTGACTATGGAGGTTTGTTTTCCAGCCAACTGTCGGCATGAAGGTGCTTTCCAGACCTGGACACAGATACTTCCCCCATTATGGGGAGATTTGCAGTGACACAATGGTAAGTGAGGAGCCTGACTCCTGTTGACTTGCAATGGGAACTAGGCACCTGCCATGTATGCCTTTTGAAAATCTCTCTCTTAGGCCAAGGATTTCAAAAATAAGAGTCTAAAAGTTACGCTACTAGGTCCACATTTCAGCTCCTAAATGGGTGACCTGATTTTCACAAGCCCTGAGCACATAAGGCAGGATTTTCAAAGGTGCCTAAATGATTTGGAAGCACAAGTCCCTGTGGAATTTTTGCACCTAAGTCACTTACGTGTCTTTTGAAAATCCCACTCCCAGCACCTCCCAGGGAAGTCAATTGATGTTGCTGGGTTCTCTGCACTTCTGATTTAGGAACTGAAATCATGATTTAGGAGCCTAACTTTAGTCTCCTATGGTTGCAAATCTTGGCCTTCATTTTTTTTCTTCCGCCCAACAGCCAAGCTACCTAATGGCCATGTTTTCTTTATCAACAGGTTTGTTTTCTGTTAGCGCAAGCAGAGAGATGGGAAGTGAATGAGACAGCTGCTCCAAAGAGACAAACTGACCGTTCCTGACAAGGATGCTACACTCTGACTAACTAGAGCTCAGACGCACGCATAATCCTCAGGAAAATTCATCTTGGAACTCCCAATGCACCGTGACAAGGGCCCTTGAAGGGGTAATTAAAATGCATTGAGTGGCGACTGCACCTGTTTAGAAGGGAGTATGCTGGTAAGTCTAACTGATACGTTTCAGGGGCAGGGAGCAAAGAGGGATGGGGCAGCAGAGAAAGAAAGGAGTAGTGAGTGGGGAGGTGGGAAGAAGAGAAGGAGGAAGAGGGAAAAGAGAGAGGCGCTCCTATGAGAAACAGAAAGCAGGCACAGGGAAAATTGGGAAACGTGCTTCCTGTTGGATCTGTTCTATCTCCTCTCCTGACCCCGGAGCTCACATGTGGCCAGTCGCTCCTGCACTCTCACACCCACTGATGGAAACTCCAGGGGGTGTCCCTAAGCACTCCAGACACCGGATCAGGTGCTCAGCTGGTATAAATTGGCGTTGCTTCATTAAAGTCCATGTGGTGCTATGCTGAGCTATGCCAATTTACATCCGCTGAGGCTCTGTCTCCATGACACTTATCAGCCGCTGGGCTCTTCACACTTGCAGCTGTAACGTGCAGTTTCTTGTCCTCTGGTTTGTCTGTCTGTGAAACAGACACAAAGGGGCACATTCTCCTCTGTTAGTTACACCCCTGGAAATCCAGAGCATCTCAGTTGAAAACAGAGTTATTCTGGATTTACACCCACTTTAGTGAGAGTAGAATCTAACCTATGAACCAAAAAGAGATCTGTATTTTGATAAGTTTCAGAGTAGCAGCCGTGTTAGTCTGTATTCGCAAAAAGAAAAGGAGTACTTGTGGCACCTTAGAGACTAACCAATTTATTTGAGCATGAGCTTTCGTGAGCTACAGCTCACTTCATCGGATGCATACCATGGAAACTGCAGCAGACTTTATATATACACAGAGAATATGAAACAGCAGGAGAGTGAGTTTGTGTGTGTATGGGGGTGGGGGGGATGTGAAAGAACCTGGATTTGTGCAGGAAATAGCCCGACTTGATTATGTAAAGAGTTGTCACTTTGGATGGGCTAGCACCAGCAGGAGAGTGAATTTGTGTGGGGGGGTGGAGGGTGAGAAAACCTGGATTTGTGCTGGAAATGGCCCACCTGATGATCACTTTAGATAAGCTATTACCAGCAGGACAGTGGGGTGGGAGGAGGTATTGTTTCATATTCTCTGTGTATATATAAAGTCTGCTGCAGTTTCCACGGTATGCATCCGATGAAGTGAGCTGTAGCTCACGAAAGCTTATGCTCAAATAAATTGGTTAGTCTCTAAGGTGCCACAAGTACTCCTTTTCTTTTTGTATTTTGATAAAACATTTTGCCTAGGAACTAGATGTTCCTTAGCCAGCTGAGAATGCCAAGGCCTTTACGACCAAATTCTGCGCTGTATAAACTGGTGGCAGTTCTACGGACGCCAATAGACCTGTGCTGCTTATGGAGAACGGGGTGAGGCCAGAATTCGATCATCAGACAGAACAGCAGAAGGATACCCTAGATGGCAGTGAGAACTCCAGACCTCTGAGTGGGGTAGGAGGGCAAGAGAGAGAAGAGCCCCTTCGGTGTAGAATTCAGGACTACTGGCCCCGCCACCCCAGGGCAAGGAACAGCACTGGGTAGTTAGCCAGGTCCATGCTCAAGTGGATTTGCCTTCCTGAGAGGCATCAAGGAATGGAGGCAGGAGCAGGGGAGGTCTAGAAATCCTGAGTCCCATTGTCATAGGGTCAAGTCTGCCCTTCATCCCCGGACATTGATAAACAGAGGGCCATGCAGTCTGCTCTGTGTGGGAGTTTCAGACAAGAACTCCTGTCTGCTCCATATGGAGATTACAGACGCTCCTGATACTTCTTGTAACAACGGGGATGGGGATGATGATTCCCTGTGCGTTTTGCCAACAATTGACTCCCCACCCCCCACACACTACTGATGCATGCCTAACTGGCTACCGCCTTCCACCCCAGAGGTGGCTGCATGTCAGTGGGGCTGCGTGTGTATATATGTAAAAAGCACTCTAGAAGCGTAAGCTATTAGCACTGCAATCCTCCACGTGCTACAGCAGAGGCTTTCAGCCTTTTTTTGTTTGCAGACCCTACTAAATTTCAAATGGAGGTGCAGATTTCTTTGGAAATCTTAGACAGTCTGTGAACCCCAGGGGACTGCGGACCACGGGTTGGAAACCACACTGTGCTACAGGCTGGGATTCCCTGGGACTGGAGTGATTCATTCTCCAAGCAGCCCGAGGCTGAGCTGAGCCAATAATTCAGATAGTTCTTGCAAATGTTTCTGTCTCGGTGGTTTTGATAGCAAAGAGCCTGCTGCGAGTACCCAACCTTCTTACAGGGGCAGCTGGCTGGGATCCATGAGTTAAGCCACGAGATATTGTTCCTGATCCCTGGTTGTCAGAGCATGCAAGTGCGCCCGGTGTGAATGTTGTCACATTTGCTTTCTGCAAATGCTGGCCCCTGTGCTTCTGAATCCTGCTCCCCACCAACGTCCGTGCCAGGACTCTTGGCCCTGTGTATGTTCACGGCAGGTGAGCGCTAGAGAGTTGAGGGTAGCTGAAACAAAGTCCTTTAAGAATGTGGGTGGATATTTGTCTCTGCCCAGTTGCAGGCAGAGACATTACCACTATGGAAACAGGATTCCCATTAGAGCTGGGGGATATTTTTTTTTTTGGCAAATTGTTTTTCATTGAAAAATGCATGGGGGGGGGAAGCTATTAATTGAATTTGGGTGATATTCAGCAAATAGCGTTGGTTGAAAATACTTTTTTTTTAAAAACTCAAAATGTTTCGTGTAGACTTTTTTATTCGAAATGGCGTTTCAATTTCATATTTGGCCAGGTTTTTAAAAAAACAAACAAACAGGATGGAAACACCGCAAAAATCTGCATTGAAATGAAACACACACCCCTCATATCAAGTCAATTCAATTCATGTTGGTCAATTCAAAAGGAAATCCTTTTTGTGTTTTTCAATTTGTTGACAAATTTTGAAGTCATTTTGGTTCAAATCAAACCAGAATTTGGGGGGGATTTTTTGGTTCGGGCCCTGAACCGAAAATCCTGTCATTCACTCAGCTCTAATTCTCATAGACTTCTCCCCCTTTCTCTTCCAGATTTCTGTCCTTTAGCTGCTCCAGAAGGGAGTTGTGGGGTGTATATCTTCCCCTAAAAACTGCACCATAACCACAGGAGAAAGCCAGGGGCTAGAGACATGGGCACAGATCTGCTGTGCCTCCCTACCCTCCAATGCTCCTGGGCCTTAGCAGGGAGCACAGAAGGGAGAAGGATCTGAAAGGGAGAATAGAGGCTGAAATACCCATTGAATGAACTTCTGCTTTCCATTAAACCCATGAAAAACAAAAGCCGCTCCATTGATTCAAGTGGAGTTGCTCTGGATTGACAGTGGTGTAAATGAAAGTGAGTCTGGCCCAGTCGGTTGTTCCCTAGGAGCCTGATTCTGATCCTACATGGCTTTCACCCCAGGATGACTCCACTGACTAAAAGTGCACTCACTCTGGATTCATGTTGGTGTGAGAGCAGAAGCTGGTGGAATTTGACCCAGGGTTTGCAATTAGCAGTGGGCGTGGGGAAGGGGAATAAGAAGTGTGGCCACCATGGAACCAGAGTCAGTCGAGTAACTATGCTAGTTAGGGTCTGATACTGGAGAGCTTTGGGGGTTTCAATGGTTGCAGGATCAGTCTGTGAATGGACACCATAGTGGTGGAGAGCTTGCTATAGTATGATTATTTTTTCAGTAGGGGAATTGGATCCTGATTCTTCATTTATACTGGTGTAAATCAGGAGTCACTTCAGTTTATTAGTCGTAGTAATTAGTGTCCAGAGTCCTGAGCTGAAGTCAGGGACCCATTGTGCTGGGTGCTGCACAGAGACAGATCCAGCCTCAACGTGTTCATAGGTTACATCAGTGGCCCCCAAACTTCTTAGGGCTGCGTCTCCCCTTACCCCTGTCTGTGCACCCCCCTACACACCCCTGGAGCTGGGAGCAGGGCACGGCTGTGGGAGGGGTGCAGATGGGGTAAGGGAGCCGAGGCTGGGACTACAGGGATGGAGATGGAGTCAGGAGTGGAGTTGCAACCGGGCTGCGGTGGGGGCTGGCAGCCGGGCCTGTGGCTGGGGGGTGGGGCTGGAGCAGAGCTCGGTGCGGGGAGGGGCTGGGTGGTGCTCCCTCCCCATCCCCCATGGAGCTGGTCCAGACCCATTGCACCCTGCTGAAGTTCCCGCTGTGCCCCTCTAAGGGGGTGCACCCCACCCTTTGGGGACTTCTGGGCTAAATAGATGAGACAGACAAAGAGGTGGGAAGGAAACAAGGGTCAGATTGTAAAATATCTCAGTATCCAATGTGCAGTTCCTTCAGACATCAGGCTGCTTATTTTAGTGCCTAAAAGGGAACTAAGCTTTTGTGAAAACTCTGACCCTATGGTACTTGCCTGAGGACACACAGGGAGTCCGTGGCAGAATCAAACCCTCATCTCCCGAGTACTAGGACAGTGCCTGGTCCTCAAGCCCAGCCTTCTGCTTTAAGGTTCCCTGAGACTATGTGAAATGATGTTGTACCCCCTCCATTTCTCCCTCTTCTTTTGTTCCCCAAACATCCCTCTCTTCCCCTCCTCCCAGATCCCATGTCCCTCCATCCTCCTGGCAGCGGAGCAGCTCTTTGACTTTTCCATCAGTAACTCTAAAGAGCAGGTTTGAACAAGGTCGGTCTCCCTGCTCCCCACCACCCAGCTCCAAACCAGGCAAATCTCATTGATTACAACAGCTCAGGAAATATCTGGTGTTTTGCTGTCAGGATGATAATAATATTGCTGCGGTGAATGGGCTGCTGCAGGCCTGACCCAGGCCACCTGCAGGGTCTGTTTAATTGCATTTAATGACAACTCCCGTACGGAGACACGGTGCCAGAGAGATTTATTTTCTGTCACACTGACGAAGCACAACAGCTAAAAATATAATTTGCACTGAGCATGTCCCCCCACCCCCACCCCCCGTCTCTCCTTAAATCATTTTAATAAATAACAGATCAGGTGAAGTGGGGACCATCAGTCTGAAGTGGGGGGGGGGGGGAAGAGTTAACTCAGAGGAAATA